TTCACGATGGGAGACTATGTCACATCTACCTTAGATATATCAGCTCTGGCCTTTGACAGCTAGTGTTTGACAGGTCGTTAGAATGCCTAATTGGTGATGAAGGGGGTAAAATGATGTATGACAGATGATGTCCATCTTCAAACAAAAATTGACCTGCCAGAGAATTTTTAACATTCACGACAGGCCTGCACAACAGACGGCCTGCCATTGTCGTTTTCTTGGCCCTTTGTCCCTTTACCAATTTGGCCCACCTACGTCAAATTATACATTTTTCTGTAACAAAATTGCATTTATTAATTGCCTCAGTAGATATTAAATCATATATTATGTGGTAAAACACAAAAAAACTTTACTGAATTAAACTTTGATGTATTTAAAATATAACTTTATTTAAAAAACAACTTTTTAAAATAAACTATAAATTAATTTTTTGAGACTAAAGATCAACGTATTTAAGTGTTGCATCTGCGAAAGTACTTCACTTACAACACCCTCCCCCCCGCCAAAAACAAAATTACATCCGTCTTTTGCCCTCGTGCACCTACGGATTTTTTAAACTGGTCCCTTTAAAAATCTTAGTTATGCAGGCCTGATCTACGATATTAATACCAAAAACCCCATCTCAAATTATTATTGAGCCATTTTGTATGTTTAAAAGAAGATTTATTCTTGTTATATTCTTTTGCAGGTTTTCTTTATTTACTTACTACTGCATCTACCAGAAAGAGTGAATTTCACCAAGAATCTACTAAACAGGAACAAAATAAACATATTTGTCCAATGTGTAGCAATATAGAGAATTTTTCTTATTACAATAATTATTTATATATATTTGCTTTATACTCACTATATTACTATTAAGAAATTTGTTTTAAATTTTAGGAACTTGAAGAATTTACATCTTGGCGAGTACAGGAAAATAGGAAAGTTCATTATGGTTTATACTGGTGAAGAAAGCATAGTTCACAATTTTAATAGAAGTGATTTCAATGGTTGTACCAACTTTTACATATTGAACATGTTCTTCATACATTTATTTTTAGTATTTAGTAGCTCATGTGTCTAAAATATGAAATATGGGGGGAAGTATTTGTATCCGAGGAATATGAATTCTAGTGAGTTTGAACAAATGGTAATTAGTAATATTCATTTAATAATTTTAATATTGTTAATTTTATTAATATTTTTTTATTAGGATTAGTTTAAGTAAAATTTCTTGAAACTCATGTTCGACTTGCAGATGAGCTAAGAACAAAGCGACTGTCAAATGTTGAAGAAAATATTATAGTCGAACAATTAGCTGCAGGGGTGACAAACAGGATAATTCAAGATGCTAGAAAAATACAAAATAGTACAATAGAAAGAATAAACTTGATAACGAAAGGAGATTTAGTATATTTAATAAGAAAGTATAATAATGCCAAAAAAATTAACTTCGATGATATGAAAATTGAGGAATGGAACAGGCAAGGAAAAAACCATTTATTTTTATTCAAAAGAACTGGTAGGTATGTACATAAAAATACTTTTATAATTGTGCAATTTTTATAGGGTTAAGGAGTAAATGGTAAAGGTATTTATTTTTAGGCGGAAGCTACCTTGGACTAAAGGATGATTTTGCAGTGGATTATATGAATGGTGTTATGTAAAAGAGAGAGATTTAAAATATTTGAATATATTACAAAACCTACCTAAACGTATTTCCTTAAAACAAAAATTCCGTATAACTACATAAATGAGAATTTTGAATTTGGCGGTATATAGGCCACGCCCCGGCCAATGCCACAGCATTCTCATTGGCTGGGCACATTTGCATTTTATTGAATGCTGTTTTTAATTAATATCTCAGCGAAGTGTGACTGTTTTTCACAAAGTTTTATACAGTGTACTAACTGGTAAAAATAAAAAAAAAATTAAATCCATTGATGCTCCTATTTCCGGATAGCCATGTACTTTTTATGTTATTTTAGTAAAAACTGTAATAAAACATATTTCATACTTAGAGATTCCATGTTTTGATGCCCTTCGTAGAATAGTTTTTATAATATTTTAAAAAGAATATCTTCTTTATAGTATACTCTGTAGAATTTTTTGATGCCACCTCTGAAGAGTTAAACCTTTAGAATTGGTTTCTGAACTATGGAAACCCAGGTACTTAGGAAACCTAAATCCTACATGTCCTGGATGGATTATAACAACGCATCTGAATTTTTAATCGTACTTACGTTAAAAAATGGAATCTTTAAGTATGAATTATGTTTTTTTTTATTAAAATAACATTGAATTTAGTTTTTCTTTTAATTTTTAGCAGTTAGTACACTGTATACAACTGTGAAAAACAGTCACACTTCGTTGATATATTAATTAAAAACGTCTGTTTTATAATATTATGGATTAAAAGAGGTTTTTGATCAAAAATTTTTAATTAACAATTTTTCCAATTTTGTAAAAATGACATTTAAGTGTTTTTCGTTAATTTGTCAGAACAATTAATATCCAAAATATTTTTTGGGCGATCTTAGAAAAAAATAGTTCTGTTTAATAAAGAGTTATGTCACGTGAAAGGGGGTCAGTAAATAAGGAAAACCTGTAGAAGAATATATCAAGAATAGACCTTTTTTTAAACATACAAAATGGCCCAATGGAAAGTCATGTGGTTTTTGGTCTTAATAACGTAGATGGTAAACACGCTTGGGCTGGTCGATTTTTGTTTAAAGGTGGACATCAACTATCACACGTTATTTTACCCCGCTTCATCACCAATTAGACATTCTAACGACCTATCAAACAATAGATGCCAAAGGGCAGAGCTGATATATCTAAGAGGGTTGCGGCACAGTCTTCCATCATGGACGTGATGTTTTTTCGAAATAGCCGTCGCCAAACCTGTCAATTAAGGAAAATCCAATTTTCATAGTATTAAATATGAAATAGGAATGTTTTTAAGATAAAATATCTAAATTTAATCCATTATTTATGATTTTACGTGCTGTAGATAGAATACGTTGTATGTCGTAACCCCTTAGATAAACCAACCTTTCTTTTCTCCACTCATTTTGTTTGGAACGCCCAATGCAATTTAAATGGAAAAGTTACCAAGTATGACACGTAATAGAAAAAGTAATTTTATGATTAATTATTTAATCATGACTTTCCAGTATAGCGTTTTCTATCTTGATAAAAAACATAAAAACTGTTATGTACAGTAAAGTGTTATACTTTAATTTAAAGCTGATTTTATAGGTAATTTAATTAAATAAAACAGGAACCTAAATAATCGAAAAATCTCGGAGAGCTCTAACATTAAGAAATAGAAAATTTTATCGCAATCAACCAAAACAATAAATAATGTATGGTACACATTAAATTACTATAAAATGAGCTTTCAAATAAAGTGTCGCATTTTTAAATAAGTTTTTTATTCCGCTAGCTGACGCTAAGTTTAAAAGTAACTCATCGATTAGTCATATTGCTAAATTCTCCATAAAATTACTTATTCAATATGTAACATACTTGGTACTTTTCCCATTTAAATTGTATTGGTTATAGTGACGAGGAGGGGAGCTAAATGACATATGACACTTGAAGATATGATTGAAGGATGTCCTTCTCCAAACTAAAATCGAACTGTCCAAACGTTTTCTAACATTTAGCATATTAATACCCAAAATCAAAATGTCAAGTTTTCGTTGAGCCACCTTGTATATTGTTTAACCAAAATATCAATTAAAACTTTTTCTTCAAATATTGTTGTCGTAGAAAAAATGCCTTAAATTCCCTGGTATAAAATTAGAAACAACTCAGGCTAGGTTAAGTCGATATTGATACTTGGACACCATCACTGTCGCTTGTTTCTAATTATATAATGTGACATTTTTCCATTAAAAATGTCATTTTAAGCTTGACTTATTTATAAACGACTAGCAGTACAAATGGGCCTTAAGGCATTGAAGTACCACTTTCAATTCCAAGGGATAAGAAAATAATTCACTGCATTTTAAAATAACAAAACAGAGTAGTTGAAATAGATGCAATAAACATGATATACATGCGCATAATTATTTCTTTTTTCAAAAAACTTTCATTCCTTATTTGTCGACTTTTTTTAAAATTTGGCTTTGTCTATATATATACTGAATTAACCAGATAAATTTGAATATATTCAATTAAAAAAATTGTAAAAAACTATCACTTTTAGACATATTATAACAAAAATAATAAATAGTAAAATATAATAAGTGGTCAATTTAAAAGAACGAAGTATAAGATGTTTTAAGATTAGCATGTTGATAACCCTGTATAAAATCTCCTATCACTTTAAGACATATTATAACAAAAATAATAAATAGTAAAATATAATAAGTGGTCAATTTAAAAGAACGAAGTATAAGATGTTTTAAGATTAGCATGTTGATAACCCTGTATAAAATCTCCTGTACATAAAAATAAACTTTTAATCCTCTCAGATGTATCAGCTAACTAGTATATTTGTATTTATCAAATATTTTAACTTAATTGTCAATAACAAGTATTTTTTCACATTTTTTTAGAAAAAATAGTCAACGTTGCAGAATAAAAAATCTTAGTATTGGTACGTAACATTTTACACTGAAATTAGTTATGAAAAAATTTATAGAGCGAGTCATTTAATAAGAGATATATTTTTATCTGAGGAGTTTAGAGTTAAGTCATGTTCCAATCTTTTGGACGCACCCTGTATACATATTGTATTTTAATGACAATTGACATTATGATGCACTATAAAAGCACTTTACAATACGATTTTGATGATACTATAGTGTGCAAAATGCAAAAAAATATATAATCTACCTTTTTTGAATTTAAACATTAATGTAGCAACCAATAGTTTTAATTTTCTTAAAAAAAAACTTTGATCTCTTACCGACGCCTTGTGAATATCCGTTTAGTTTCACTTACTGGCACTGTTTTCACTGGGGTTTTCTTTATGTAAAAATATGTAAACAAAACACTATACTTACGTAAATTTTCATCTGGAACGGGGCACTTATTGTAACGGTATGAAAAGGTAAACAGCCTCGCCTATCTTTAATGAAAGCTTTTATACCAACCTATCCCCACGTACTTTGCCCACAAGGTTATAAATTAAATTTGTGCATCAGTTTTTCAGTTTGCATGTTATGAATTTTTTGAATTTTTTACCATCTGGTGTATAAACATTTTTGTAATTTATTAAAAATTAAAATTACTTTTGCAAAACACTTTTACCATGGTGCTATGATAAATTCTTCTTATTGTATAGAAACCGTCACTATATTTTAAAAGAACAATAACGGTTTAACTCTATATACAGACTGATCCACAAAAAATGTTTCTAATGTAATTCATGATCGACAAAGACAGAGATATGAGTCATGTCCTGCTCTGCATTAAATCCTAACTGACACTCAGAAAGAAGAAGAATTATACGCTCCGACATGAGTGAATTTTTTAAATTTTTGAAATCTTAATTTAAATATGAGACTGATAGGGTTAATTTGACAGGCGAAGTACTCGTTTATTACAAAATTTGTATATACAAGAGTTGCACGTTGCACTGTAACAATATTATACAGTAAATAAAAGAAATACTACGTAAAGTATTTCATGATTTGTCAACATATATGGACTGTTTTAGATCATTACTATTTAGATTAGGACTATTTAGATAAGGAATATTTAGATTAGGGGTATTTAGATAAGGACTATTTAGATTATAACTATTTATATTATGACTATTTAGATTAAGACTTTTTTTAATAGGACTCTGTACTAGGACTATATATATTAGGACTATTTATATTAATACTATTAATATCAGGACTATTTAGACTAAGACTATTGTGTTACAAATATAAAAAGTAAACCTCACGTGCATCTATAACCTCAATAAAATCGTAGAGAAAATGTCAATGTCAATAGTATTCGATAATTTATTGTAAGTGTTAGTGGCTCTATGTGTGATTTACGAAGAAAGTGTAACAATTTCTTGTATTATAAAAATCAAGAATAACAAATCGAATTAGCTTCATTATTTCAGCACAATCAATTCTGTTATTTTTAATTTTATTTGGATGAACATGACATCTGTTACTGACCTACTTTGGTAAAGTCTAATGAATTTCAAAATAAAACAGAGACTCTTTTATATATGAGGGAAATATTTTCTTTGATAATGTTCATGTTCCTTTCCTATATCAAAATTCATCAATTAATGAGAGCACTCTTTAGTAGAGCGTACTCTATAGATTTGGTGTACTTGTTATCTTTAAATTGTTTTAATAATAGATTTTTGATATTAAATTTAATAAATTTTCAATGACAGAACTTGGAGGATATTATACATATATCTAAATTTATAATAGTCTTTCTGCATATTAAAACAGATAGATAAAATCTCTAAATCAAGAAGGAAATTGTTTGATTTTCTAGTTGAGTTAGAACCCTGTAAATTAATTAATATATGGACTTTTTCTGTACAATTTCTTGCTATAATATTTGTAATCTCTTTTTGTTGTTACATATTATTGACCCTATTTCGTTTTGTGTTATTTTTTTTACCATACTGTCATGGAAATGCCTAAGCCGTCCCTGTAGTGCGAGATCTGCAGCCTACCACTCGATTCATGGTCGAAACACCGCTGACGTATAGAGACAAACGCTCCGCTTCTCGAATCTACCAGAGAAAGCAATACGTGACCGTTAAGTCATAGAGATGGAATTCTATGACTTTCTACATCGTCTAGAAGCTTTTCGTACAGAGTTGGACTTGGTATAAATAGCGCGACTCATCGACGGACGAGTAGTTTAGAATGAAGTATTGGACTAGAAAGATAAATTGTAATAAATAAATTAGGATTGTGAGTTAGTGCCTAGGTATTATATACATTAATTAGTAAGTCATAAATAAATTGTAAATAGTGTGTTTTAAATAAATAAACTCTAAATAAATTAAATAAACGTCACAATACTACTAAAATAAAGTTTTTTTTTATACTTTCTTCCATTATTTTTACTGCTTCCTCCAATTTTTTTTATATCCCATTCCATCCATTTTGTTTATTATCTGTTCTATCTTTCTTCATTTCCTCCTTATCTTGTTTTTTATCACTCCATTTTGTTTTCCAATTCTCGTATCTCTTCCCTTAATATGTATATGATATCATTCTGTCCTAATTTTTCTTTCTCCTGGTCTTCTTCTATAACTGTATCTTCTAAAGTTTGCCTTTTATCATTTTCACAAGTTAAATTTAACTTTCACCCAGAACCTTCATATCTACTAATTATTTGTTTTGTTTTAATCACTTATTTTGATTTCTCCATATTTTAAATTTATTCATTACTATAATCCAGGGTGTTCACTTTTTCCAATAATTGTATCATTTGTAAGTTCGTTTAAAACTTTGTACAAGAGCCAATATCGCTGGTTTTTTTTATTATTTGAGTTTGTATTAAGATTTTCAACCTCATACTGTTTTCAAGCACTACAACTATTAATAAATGAATATTTTAGTTAGTACAATATCTGTTTTGTTTTTAATACGTTGAAAACTATCTTTAAACATTATTAGTTAGTAAACTTCTTCATAACTTTTCTTCATAATTTGAGATTTTTTTAAAATATATGTATATCAGGTTATGTAGAAAGATTGACATTGATTTTTGTGTAAAAAATATTATATGAAACTTTACCTACCATTTTTAAATTTTTATTGTAAGTTTAATCATTTTCACAATTTTTCACAGATGTCAAATAAAAAATATATTTTTTAAATACCTTTTATTGGCAAATAAAATAAGAACTAAAATGTTTTAAATGTTTATTTTATAAGATCAGTCCCATCACAATACATAATATTACACAGATACAAACTAGAATAAAGATATGTAATGCCTAGCATTCTAAATGATACTCTTCGCAGTGTAACAGACCCCCTTAACCCTCATTTTCAAGCAAATTCTTTTCACAATCAATATGCCTCATCTCCTTATAGAGCTTGATTTTTATTAAAAATTTCGTGATGATATCGCTTTTCATTTTTGATTTTTTTTTATTTTAACCCCTTCTTAAATCGCCCATATTTAATACGATTTTTTTTTTATAAAATTAAGGGCTTTTTCTCCTTTTAAAGCTTGATATTTGCTAAAGGACCCCGCAGGTTTCTTATGGAAATTGGGTTTCGGTGGATTTTTAAAATTTTTGATATGATGTAGTCCATGTCATTCTCAACAAATGTTACCATTGCGCCAACCCCTAAAAATGAACAATTTGTCTGCTTGGGGGCGTTAAAATCACCCATAACAAAAAATATCGGTGGATTTGGCTGAATTTTTAGTATGATGTAGTCTATGTTGTTTTGAATAGAAATTAATTGGGTCACAAACTCTAAAAATTAACAGTTTTGCTGCTAGGAGGCTCTAAAATCACCGTTGCCTCAAAATAGACCACCTATTTTGAAAGCCTGGGAAAATGTATTTACATATTTTATTTTAGGTTATGCTATATAGTATTGTGCTTTTTATTTTAAAAATATCTAACCGCTCCCCACTACCCTCCGACCTCCCCCTGCCCCAATTTTCAAAATATTCTTTTAAAAATAAACAGTTTATTTATTTATTATAAAACTAATTCTATACTCCCTCATATTCCCCCTTCGCCTGTTTAAAAAAGCAAAAAATGGATATAAGCTGTATAAGCTTAATTAGAAAAATCTATATTTTAATTATCATCCAATCGTTGAGGGAGGGACACAACAAAAAATAATTAGATATTCTGCTACAGAACATAACAGCCCCACTTTTCTTTTAAATATCTCATTCAATTGCAATTGTATTTTCAGTTTAAAATGATCCAAAATTAGGGGTTCTCTGGTAAACATTGAGAATGTACGTTTACCAAATATTTCAATTAAATCAAATCAACAATCTTTTTTAGTATGATAGTAGTAGACGGATATGGACAATATTTTTGACATTAATTGTCAAACTTATACATTGGCTTTCTGACATTAGTAATAATTGTTGTGCTTTGTTGCCTTTTTTTGTGTTGTGTTGTTGTACGATATATTGTGTTTTTGTATTTTTGTTTACTGGTTGATATTATTATAATGGCTTACCAAAATCGAGAAGCTTGCTACGTATGCGAAAGACTTTTTCGCCCAGCGCAACTTTCACGAATGGATGGAGAAGAAAATGTAAAACAAACAGACCTCCTCTTCATGTGGATAACAGACGCCTTTGCATTAATTGCAGTCGATCTATTAATCAAGACTTGATAGACGTAGAAAATAATCCGTTCTGTCTAAGACTCAACGTATTAAGTCAAACAAATAATTCTACTTGCTTTGTTTGTGATGAAGTAAATGACATTCATAGACTTTCTGTTGAATGTAGAGTTGATGCATTTATTAGAACTAATATTTACATTTCTGAAGATGTAAAATCATGTCAGGCACATTTGGACGATAAATCCTGTATGCTAAAGATTCTTCTTCCTGGTTTGCGTTACGTAAATAGACCTTGTGTTCTTAAAGGTACTCAAATACAAATTTTTTTACAGCAAATGCGAAAAACTGTAAACACGTTTTCTGAAAACATGTATAGTAATGAAGACTGTTGCAGTGATGAAGAGTTCCAAAAAACTTTTTCTGTGACAAAAGAACAATTTAGGGAATTGTATACATTTTGTGATCCCGTGCCTGAAGGAAATATATAAACGATATATAAGAGATATATAAGCAACAAATATTTACTTTCTTTTTTCTGCAAGATGCATCATGGTCTATCTGATGAGTTTTTTTCATTATTATATATTATGTTTTTTTTTTAAATACATGAAGAGCAAATAAAAATATAGCGCCGTTTAATATTATTTTTACATGGGTATTGTCAGAAATCCTTTTTTCCAGGTCGAAAAATGAATAATTATATTGCGGACTACCTTTTTTTATGAAATAAAAAACTTATTAAAAACAGTCAAACAATTTTATTTCAGATACAAAAATATACAAATAGGATCTTTCCATTACATACCATTTGGGTTGCATGTCACGACACCTATTTTTAGCATTATTTGTGTAATGGTATAATAAATCATTTAGGAGAGTAATCAGTAATGATTTTATAATATCTGGACAAGGCTAAAACACATTAGCTTAATCTGTCACAAGAGAGACTTTATT